TAATTAACAGAAAAGAAGATGTCTAGAACAATAATGCACTTTTTCCACAAAATTGAGACAATATACTTTATTTTGTTTCCAGGATGCATCTTAAAAAAACTGTAATTGGTAGCCCAACAGCATAGTGTAACAGGGCAAAACTATACAGAGACACATAGGAACTTATAAAAAAGCATACAATAGACATGGCACTCTACTTCAGCTCAAAAGCCATTTTGATAATTCATCCACCCCAAGTACAGCAGATCTGTCATTATTCAGGGCATGAGCACTAAATACATTACGATCCACTTAGGAGCAAGTTAGCAAAGTAAGAAAAGCAATGTGCAGAGTCAGTGGCAGCATGCCTATGCTTTAAACAAGTATAATTGAAGCAGCAGCTTGTGCATATATAAGCCATTTTTTCTTTTGGTTTTTATTTCTTTTCTGTATCCAGTGAAAAAGCTTTAGACACAGTACTTCCAAAAGCAAGCTAAAGAAGAAAACCAAACACAGTATTAGAAAGATACTTTCTTAAATATTACCCTTGAATAAAATAGTCTATGTGCTTGAATAAGAGACAGAGACATTTTTAGAAAGATGCGCTACATGATATCTGCTAGCTCTTCGAGGGCCTATAACTCAATTAAATTTAAGTAAGTTAAGACTTCAGAGTCTTTATCATACTAGCTGCACTTCAAATATTACCAAAATGGGCAGCATGGAGAACAGTCCCACCACAGCAAGCTCTATTGGGCAGCACTATCCTGCATTATTATGTGTGTGACACGATCCAGGGAATACAGAGGCTGACCTAGAGACTCAGACTCCTATTTTACACTTGGGGTGAATGAAATGCTAAAGAGGAAGTATCTTAAGTAAAAAGCAGTGCTAATTGAGCCTCTATAAATTGAAGGAAAAGAAAGGGATTTTAAACATCACTTTGCAAACTACCAAATGATACTTATGCAAATTAATTCTTCATCACATGGAGTCTTTGCATTGTAATCATGTAACTCTGCTTCAGACAAATCAAACCAAAGTTAGCAGCATTTCAATCTTCAAATGCATAAATGAAGTGAATTTACATCCTGTGTAGGAAGAGCCATCGCTTTCCTTCAGCAAAATTACATTCGCCCTTGTGAAAGCAGATGTCTATTTTCAAACCTGGAACTGGAGAGCTTGGCCCTTTAACCCAATCTTCCTTTAACAGTGTGCTTGGAAAGTCAAATTGTGTACTCTGTCCCTTTAGATATCTTTGGCTATCTCTGTCTGGCACCAAAATATGAGCCTACACATAGCCAAGACTTACATCACACAAGCAGTGCAATTGAGACTGCCGTGGAATATAGTTTGGAGAAATATTTGGACCCGGTTGAAAGGACAACCATGAGTGGTATTGCAAACAGAGCCAATTCCTCCATGCTTGCAATCATTTATCAGTTCCATGAAGTTGAACTCCAGCCAGCATTCTGCTGTCCCTTGGTGTTTGCCTCATTTACATTTGCATTTTCTGTTCTTAGCACAATGCGAGATACTGAGCAGCTATGCTTATAGGAGCTGTCTACCGACTATATATTAAAATATTTAAGAAAATTTCTTCAATAAATGTAAATTCTTATTTCCTTAAGGTGGATTTCAGGGCCTCTACATTTTATCACAATACATTGCTGTTTGTGGTAATCACAAATTTTGGATTAAGTTTTATGACCTAACCTGGCCATCCAGTCCATACACTCATCAGCACAAAATTGGTTCTCATCAGATAAAAGCATTCTTTCATCTCTTCTTAATTAAAATCAAAACAACAAAAAATTTTCCATAACACTTAAATCATTCTAGCTAACATCTTAATTTTTTTTCTTAGAACAAAATTCTACAAAAGAATTGCCTATTATAGGCAGATCCTGGTGGTTGACTAGCCAGATGACCTAACTTAATTGGCAAGGCCCAGGTCCCAGTGAGATACCTTGTCTCAATAAGTAAGGTGAAAGGTGCCTGAGGCAGACTGGCAATTGAGGTTGTCATCTGACTGCCACACACATGAGCACACATGCACATGTGTGCCTGAACATATATGTAGACATGTGAACATACACATTGCCTCTGATTTCAATTATTTAATGACGACCCATTTAACAAACAGTTCACCAGTCATTAATAACATTTTGAGCCTGAATTTAACTGGTAGATCTTGTTCTCATCTTACTGGATTTATCACAGCTTCGGATACCCCTGAACTCCTATGAAACGTGTTGCCACTTGGTTTCCATGTATTTTCTCTTTGTTGCTTCTTTCCTTGTTGTCTGCCTCAGGTTAACTCCTTTTTGTTGATTCTCACTCACTGCACAGCCTCTGACCTTCAGGTGACCTGGGCCTCAGTCCTTGGCTACCTTCTCTCTATAGCTAGTGCTACTCTCCATAGATGACTTCATCAAGTGCTAGATGTGATTCTGATGATAAATGCTAAATTTGTATGTGCTGCTTTCCTAAATTCCATGCTCATGTATTCAACGTTCTACGAAAGCCACTATCAGGGAAAGTTTGTTATACATGACAAAATAAATTCCAAATGTCTGTGGGAGAGAGAGCATTCTCTAGCTGTTCCTTGTATGTCTTGATATTTTCAAGTGCACTATATTCAGTTAAGTTAGAGTCAGGATCACTCAGTCAGTTCTAACAGTGAAGAGCCTGTTTATCTCCTTTAACCCCCTCCTACCTTGTTATGGGGGTATTAGAGACTATGCTTCACATAGTCTAGGTGCAGAATGGGGTGATGATAAATTTATGGAGTAATTACTGAAATGATTTATGTTAAAGTCATATGGTACTTATCAGATGTCATGTAGTACTCTAATTAGCTCATTTAGTCCTAATAATCCATGAAAATTATTTTTATTGTACTTAACTTGAGACAAAAACATGCATAAGAAATTAATTTACAAAAGTCACACAGATGGAAGATATCAAAGGTGATATCTGAACCCAAGTAAGCAGTGCACTTTAGAACCTAAAAGCTTAGTCACTGTATTGAAATGTTAGAATATAAAATATTTGCCATATGCTAAATTGTTAAGACTAGCTTATCCTCTTTCTCTTTAGCAGTATTGTAAAAAAAATGTTTTTAAAGAAGATAAGACAAGTAGTGGTGCGAATGAGTAAAATCAAGTGTACCTAAAGAAAGTCACATTTACAGTGAATTAGAGTTACCAAGTTTTAGAGTGATTCAAAGAAAAGTCTTTCTAAAATTAGATATCTGAGTCAAGTCTTGAGTTCACCACAGATGTTATAGCAGTGGGGTTTGAAAGGAAGGTGTTCTGAAATTCTAAGTTGATTTAAAACTTGATTATTTCTACTTGGTCCTCACAGCATCAGTCTTTAAGTCAAAACAGAAAGGGTAGACCACAGCTTTAAAGAGTAAGGACCTGTTTCATTTAAACCTGAAATGTGTGACCTGGTTACCTACTGTTGCCCGGACAGGCTCAGGGGCATTCCCATCAGAACATGGTGACTGAAGTCTCTCCTCTTTAGGACATAAGGCTTGATCTTGATATCAGCCATAGGACTAAACAAAAGTCAATACTATCTCTTTCCTCCTAGAAATATTTGCCATTAAAAAGGTCTTTTAGAAGTCAATTTAAAACTAAGATGAAAGTTACCTCGTTTTTTAGGGTGGGAAGAGGATACATCATTTCCAAGAAATGACAGTTCGGCATTCTTTGCCCTCATATGCTGTTCTTTCAGCTTCTCCAGCTACAAGAAATTAAAATGATAACTAGTCCTTAGTAACAATGCTGGGAGGAGAAGGGGAGAGGAGAATGAAGGAAAAATATAGAAAAAGGGAAGAGAGAAAAACAGGAGAAAAAAAGGAGTAAGAGAAAAAGAAGGGAGGAAGGGAGGGAGGGGGAGAGAGAGAAAGAGAGAGAAAAAGAAAGAAAGAAGAAAGAAAGAGCATTGAGAGATTTTCTGAAATAGGTAAGTGGGTTAACCAGAGATCAGAAAGGAATAGGTTTTTCACAAATCAAGTGAGCTCTGGGTATCAATTAATGAGGAGTCTATAAATGTAGCCTGGGTAGCTGGACCTGACGATGTCACCCATGAGGGCAGTATTTTCCAATAAACTACAGAGAATCGTGGAAATGCTTACATTTCCAGAAGTTGTTTTCCTTTCTACTAGAAAAAGATGTATTTTGAGGCCCTATTGTTTTCATCCAGCATTCAAACCAACTTTAATCTTTAACAAACCTTGAACTGCCTAACCCCTACAGACCAACTCTATGGAAATCAGGTTTGGCCTGCACACTGTATGTCTGCATTCTTTCTGCTCAGAAGAGAATAGCAGGCATTATTTTCTGTCCTGAATGGCTCTCAGTTTGAATAATGGAATAATACCCAAATGTATTTGAAGGAGTTAAGAAATTATATAACTCAATAATGTTCAGATGTTCTTTATAAAATATCAAGAGGTAGAGAGAATGGGGCTGATGGAGGTGATGAGGCTCCCATTCTAGATAGCAGCACTGCATAAGCACAAAAAACTAAAAATGAACCTGTCATATGATCCAATGATACCACTCCTTGGCATATACCTAAAGGATGCATCATACTGTAGAGATACCTATACATCCATGTTTGTTGCTGTTCTCTTCACAATAGCTAAGAAGTGGAAACAACCTAAATGTCCTTCAACTGACGAATGGTTAATGAAAACGTGATAGGTCTACTCAATGGCATTCTACTCAGCAGTAAGAAAAGATGAAATTATTAAATTTGCAAGTAAATGGATGGAGCTAGAGAGTGTTACACTAAGTGAAGCAGCACAAAGGCAGAAAAGCAAGCAGCGTATGTTCTCCCTCATTTGTGGACTGTAGAACCAATCCCTTATATGTGAGTACATAAATTCTGATGTAACACCAGGAGCCAGGTAAAGGGAAAGGATTCATGGAAGTAAAGGACAAGAAACAACCTGAAAGGGGAATAGTAGGTAGGGAACAGATGTTACCTGAGGGAGGTGGAAAAAGTGGGAAGAATCAGCAGGGAGCAGAAGAGGGAGGGACATGCAAGGGACCATGGTGTGGGGGAGAGAGGGAAGTCAGGAAAGGAAGGATGGGGAGGAGTTGGGGGGTGGGGGGGGGGAGGGTGGGGATAATGGGTGCACTATGACCAGGGAAGGAGGGTGGAGGAGGCTGGATGGGAGGAAAAAGAGTGGAGATGAGTGAATCTCAGGGGGCTAGGAAACCTAGAGGGAAAAGTGGTGCCCTAGACAGCCTATGAGAAATGCACATAGAGGATCTGAACATTAATACATATGTATATCTGGGAACTGCTTGTCAGGGAATGCAGTGCCAGATAGAAGAGGCCTCCCTCAGAGTGACAAGCATGCCATACAGCACTCATCAAAGAAGTTTCTTTTTGTAACAGATGGAGGCGACTACAGAGTTGCACATCTGGTCAGGCACAGAGAATATATGTCCGTGAGATGCCCAGTATTAGGTGACACATCTGCAGTCGAATCTCTACAACTAAGGCTCATGAACATAATGGAATAAGAGGTAGAGAGAGGGCTAATGCACCCTTCAACTGTCACCAGTGAGGCTTCCATGTACATCAGAGTACAATGCACACAGAAGGCCACAACTGGCCAAATTTTGAAGACTAAGACACTGTAGACTGTAGGATGGGACTCTTACATGGAACCTCACCCACCCATGGCTCAAAGACCATTGTGGAAGAGGAGGCAGAAAGATTGTTAGAGCCAGGGCTGGTTCATGAACACAGAGAGGTGGAGGCCTCCAAGAGGCTGGAGGCTTGCTCATGTGAGACTGCGGCAGCAGTGGCAGAGCAGGACCCATGTCAGCTCAATTAAACAAGGGCCCAAAGGGGAGGTGAGAAATAGGTGGCGGGCCAGCACTGGAATGAGAACTATTTGAGATTGATTCTGCTGGGTGAAGAAGGATGTGACTTACCACTGGGTGAGCTGACTAGACTCCAGTGGATGCATTTACACTGAAGGATGTTTGGGAACAAACGCCTGAATGAATAAGACTTAGCAGGTATGACAGAGTCTACAGGGTTTGGTGGGGAGATAGAGGGAGGCATGCATGGAGAGGGGGTCTGGATTTGAGTAGGAAATGTTGTATGAAATTTAAAATGCTCAATTAAAAAAATGTATCAAAAAGAAATTATCTTATACTGATTATTAAAATTGAGCATTAAAGTATTTTGCACTCTCACCTGGTTAAGTTCTTGCCATTTGTGAACCAGTTCTACACCTGTAAGAGACATTGAAAATGAAAAACATACCACAAGTAACATTTAATTCACTTCAAGACATTCACGTGTGAACTTCATGGAAAGCAAAGATCTTTTTTATGATTTGAGGCAACCTACCCATTCTTAGTGTAAAATACTCAATATGTTTTCCAACATATGTAATATTGAAATACAATTACCTGTATTATGAAAATTACCCATGTCCAACAATAAGCACAAAATTCTCTAAAGTAAATGTTGGCTCTAGGAAGAAGTATGACTTACAAATAAACAGCAATATTTTACTGACATGGAAATTCTCATGAAGAAATAGTAAGTGGAAAAATGCTGGACATAAATTCTACATAAATTCCAAACAAGAAGGTCATTTTCCCAAACTAGTAATAATTTTCAGATTTTATTATTTGGGTACTAATTTCCTCCTTTTTAAATAATTTCATTTTTTTTTCCAGTAAAAAGATCTCTCATTTAGTTTTTTAAAAAATTCATAATCCTGGTCTTTTAAAGTTTTTATTAATATTTTTAAGGTTTTGTTTTGTTTTGTTCTGTGCCTTTGTTTGTGCTTTGCAGGGCTGAAGAGAAAATCCAGGGACCCAGGCATGCTAAGCACACGTTTTACCACTGATACACGTCCACACCCAATATATTTTTAATAGTTTGTTCAACAAATATTAAACTTTAAAAAAAAATACTTTAGATGTTGTCTGAGAGAGTACCACACTGTCGTGCTGTCACACATTCTCTTTTAGGTGACACTATATTTCTGAACAGAGTCTTAGTAATTTTAGGGGGAAATCCTATTGTTCAAATGACAACAGTCCAATTGGTGTAGCCTTGACTTCCCATTCATAGTCTCTGTTTCACAAATTAAAGAATTTGTGTGAAAACAAAGATAATTTCACCAAAACAAACTGTAGTTACTTGATGACATTTCTAATGGAAACTTATGAACATGATGCTCTTGAAATGTTTACTGAGGCAAACGTTAACTATACCAGGCAGAGTTGTACACAGGAGAGGGAAATCTGAGTAAGACTTAAGTATTCCTGGGGCTGGAGAGATGGCTCAGCAGTTAAAAACACTGGTTGTTCTTGCAGAAGACCCAGGTTCAAATACCAGCACCAATATGGCAGCTAACAACTGTCCGTAACTCCAGTTCCAGGGGATCTGATGGCTTCTTCTATCTTCCATGGGCATTACACGACATGGGTGCACTTACCTACACGTGGGCAATACACTCATACACATAAAATAAAAATAATAAAATATTTTTAAAATAAATTTTTAAAAAATTTAAAAAGAATAAGTATTCCTTACCTCAGTAGTGACCAATCCAGTAGGATTCTCTTATAGAATGAAATGGGCAGTTCACGCTTTTAAGTAAATCTATGGCTTTTTAGCAGGAATATGTAACAATAAAAATATTTATTTAAGGCTTCATTGTGGCATAAGTCATTCATTATTTTATTTATTATAAATTGCCATTTAGAAGGATCAGAGAGAATTACTGTTGTTTTTTAATGTATATAGTTTAACTTTGTTTTGAATATTTTATTTATTTTTATATTATGTGTATGAGTGTAATGTCTGCATATATGTAAGTATACCTGTGTTGTGCAATGCCCACAGAGGTCAGAAGAGGGTGTTGGATCCCTGGAACTGGAACTATCGACAGTTGTCAGCTGCCATGTGGGTGCTGAGAACCAAGAGCAGCCAGTGCTCTTAATTGCTGGGGCATCTCTTCAGCCCGCACTTTAGCTTTATTCTTAACTCACCAATGTTGGGAGGACTTTGAAAATCAAAGGTTTTATTCAGTAGCATCATCAGTAGTTCCTCACGATTTTTAACTTCTTTGTCTGGGAAAAATTCATTCTCTGTAATAATCACATAGCACCATTTTAAATGAGTCAGTAAAAGTACTTGTAAGTCAGTGGGGTTTGCAGGCAATTCTTAATGCCCATATCCACCCATGCAAACAGATAGGGAAGTACATGATCCGAAGACACAGGCCATTCTAAAACCCAGTGGGTGTACATGAACACAGACATCCTGAGAGGAAGACAGAAATAGGCCTGAAAGACCGTGGGGTTTCAGGTGAATTTTCCTTTCCTCATTATAAGTTTTATTTTTAATCATCTGCTATTGCTTTGAACAGATGAAGTACAAACTAAAAGTTCTTTTTAAGAGAAAAGAAGAACATTTGATGCTGAGATTATATCGGACACATATGTTTAAGTATCAGCTAATTTGTGTTTCATGGATTACTTTTAAACTTTCCAAAGAAACCTTGTGAAAGAACCAGGCTGTGCTGAACTTTCCCCACATTGATGTTCTTCAGTCTTTCTTGACTTTCAGTCACAATTTATGGCTCAGGTTTCTGACTGTTTCAGTGATATAAACGTGGATATTCTGAAGCAGAAATTGGGATAACAGACTTCACTCAAGCTATGAAATATGAGTGTTCAATAAGAATTTGGTTAAATATGGTGCCATTGGAATAAAATTAGTGTATAATAACTTCGTGAAGATTTGAAAAATACAAAGTCACTTCAACAGTTCTGTAGGGTCACCTTTCATCTCCCCATTTCCTCACTCCAATTGTTACTGGATGCACAGGAATGAATTAATGAAGGTTAGTGAAAGTATTATGATTTCAATTAAAAGAATAGTTTATAACCTGACTGGATTCTTTCTCAAATCATCTTTCTCCCTGTGACCAAGACATATCAATTAATGAACTAAAGTGAATGTCTAATTAAAGAAAGAGAATGAAGATTTGGGGCTAGTGACAGCATCAAATTTTTCTATATTGCCCAAAGATGTTTAATTGCTATTCATTTCTTCAATTTTCTTAGCTTTATGACACAGAAATGATCTGTGTTGACTTATTCCTTAGAGAATTAAAAATATTACTATAAATTTGCTCAAGACCAAGATATGATTATGCAGTACTATAATATCTATTCTAATCATTCTTTAAAATGTTAAATTATAATCTTTAATTATAAACATGTTCATTGGAGCAAAAATGATAGATTTCAGAGCCAGATGGTAATGGCCACTTGTCTCAGGAAGATAACAGTAGTGAGAGAAAGAGATTCTTTGCTTTCAACTTAGAATACTTGTAAGACTAGAAATTAACTAGGAAGGTATAGAGAGGAAGCTATCATTTCATACTGCCTAGTCCATGTCTCCTGTGAACTGAAGTTCCCAGAAGAAAAAAAAGCCACAGCTATATTAAAGGGTCTACAAGACTAATTCAGTGACCAGAATTTATGACTGTGAAGGGCTGGAATGCCACCAAACCAGAGCCTAATTATCTTGGCCTAGCTTTAGCACCCTTAGTAGCCTTTATTGCCCATCCCTGTGTCTGGCCCAACCTCCTTTAGACTGTCATGTGAAACTTCTTGAGATGTGTTGATTTGGCAGACTAGTTTAGTTTCTGAGACACAAAAGCTAATAATGTCATCAGATAGCATCTGAAATCTGTAATACAGATTTCCCCACTTTGCTACAACCTACCTACCTGAAGTTTCCACCAGCTTATTCAAAAAGTGCAAAGATTCATGACTCTCTATAACTCTAAAATCTTCAGGAGGGCCAGTAAGATGGTTGAGCAGGTCAAGCTCATGCCCCAGAGTCTGAACTCCTGAGTTCCAGGGAGGGCCCCACATGATGACTACTACAAGTTGTCCTCTGACCTCCACATATGCGGCATGGCGTGTGTGTATACACACATACAGGCAGACATATAAGCTAAATATAAATAAACAAATAAATAAATAAATAAAACAAATAAATCAAGCAATAAATAAAGCAATAAAATAAAACTAAAATTGAAAAAATGTTTTTAATAAAATTTCATGAAATTTTTATCACTTTGGAAAATGATATTTGAGGTGTGATCCTGGGCCATGTTCCATCCCATCCAAATCAAGAATAAACACCGAGGGCTGGATAGATGGTTTATTGATCAGATGGCTCACAAGTGCCTATTACTCCAGCTTCAGGAGCTCTGACACCCTCTTCTGGACTCTGTGGCCACCTGCACTCTCATGCACGTATCCACATCCACACTCACACATAAACACATTTAAAAATAATAATAAATAAATAAATATTTTTAAAAGAATAAACCGTTTTACTCCCTTGGAGGTGAGAGCTATATTTCGCATTATACTCTGTATGTCTGGAAAGATGAATTGCCAGCCTTTACAGGTTTTGTCTTCAATGATTACACTTATATGATCCTTGTCCTCAGAGAACTTTTTGACTACTTCAAATATTATCATTTATAGGACTCTCTGAAGAAAAAAGACTTCTCTAAAGATTTTTAAAAATTCATGTCTAAAGAATACTAAGCTGGGCGTGGGGGTGAATGCCTTTAATCCCAGCACTCCAGAGGCAGAGGCACGTGGATCTCCATGGGTTTAAGGCCAGCTGGGTCTACATAGTGAGTTCTAGGCCAGCTGGGGCTACAGGAAGACCCTGTCTCAAAAAGACAAAAAAAAAAATATACTAGATGTTATTTGATAGAAATAATAGAAAAAATCCTGTTTTTATTCTAGCATGTAAGATATAGCTATAGCCTTATAAGAAGACATGTACTTTTAACATGCTTCCATCTTTGAACACTATAAACATTTATGAGGAAAATATTGGAATATTAAATATCTGAATGTGGATACATCTTTGTCACAAAGAAAGACAAATTTCTCAGGCAGGAGAGAATGAGTGACAGGTAAATACTCAGAAGATACAGATCCATTACTGTTCCAGAAACGCCACGCTAACAGACCCAGCTGTCTCCTTGCTCACAGCCACGGGTGAAGCCTCTACTGAACAGAAGTAAGAAAATTTTACACAAAAAGGAACTTAGAAATTTCCCCAGTGATAATATTGCAAAGCCATAGGTTTCTTGGTTAAGGTATTTTTCTCCTTTCCTTGAGATAAGCTGTTTTCCTACATTGTTACTTCACAGTGAAACATGTTTTAATTATTGCCCCACCAAATAAAAGCTGGCAAAACTGTGCTATTTGCTGTGGGTATTTTCTGCCACACAAAGGGAAGAATAGTGAGCCCAACATTTTAGTATACGATCCTTGATATTGCTTGCTTGAAAAAAATAAACTTGTATATTCAAAGGGTGTGGATAGAAGCTCGTTTCATTCTTCAACAATTTAGATCAGAAAATAATTTTACTTAAAAGTTAATCATCTTCATTTCTACACAATGAGATCACAGCATCCCAGAGAGAAATGGTACTGCGATGCTTCTAGAACTACGTGCCAGTCACTGTGGAATCCTGAGGTGAGAGTATGATTTAGAATCTAGCCAATGCTTTAGAGTTCTGTGTATTTATATTTCACATACATGTGAAACCAGAAGTTATCATTGAGGCTAACACATAGGAATGTTGCTAAGTCTGAAAAAGATGATCACCCTTTCCTCACATTTGCTAGAACCATGAGGATGATCTGGATGAAAGGATTTGGGCGGATAGACAAGAATAAAATGAATGCCATCCACAAATAAAATCATAAAACCATTCAGAAAATCCTGATTTCTTACCTTGAATTTACATTTCTGATTTACCTTTCAGCAGAAATACCTTCCTAAATAAATGTTTTGTGAATATTTCTTCCTCTGACAAAAGATAGGAATTTTCAGGAGCTTTTAAAACCATTTTAAGGCAGCAAACTTGAACAAGTAAGGGGGAACTAGATCCAAAAATGGGAAACTTGACCCCTTTTCTCACTTTAGTGTCACATAAAATTTATTACATGCTGTCCTAGCTCCTGTTGTGTTAGATAAAAGGGTAACTACTTCGTAACAAGGAGGTCAGTTCAATGAAAGGAAACTCTAGGATTTCAAGTTGGAAGGGGTATTGTTTTAAAAAACATTAAGTCACTATTTTTTAAAACAAGGAAATTCGCAAAAGTTTCAGAAATTGTTTATCCAGTAAATCAACCCCAAACCTAACTCTAACAATCCTTAAATTAAGGATTGCTTCTATGCAATATATCATAGCGTTCAAGATTTCCATGCTATGAGATAACAAGCATAGAAATTTGCTCCCACCTGTTTCATGATGGCATATTTTTAAAGACTTCACAGTAAAATTATTCTGTGGACATAAGTACCATGGATTCAATAACACAGATTAACACAGCCAATACCTAAAGTGAATGTGAGGATTGTCCTTTAAAGGGCTGACACTCTCCCCATGTATCGCTGCCCACCACCTTCAAGCAAGTCTTCATATTGATGTATTGTTCTCCAAGATGTTACCCTTTCATAAGCATTATCACAATAATCTCATATAATCAAAGTCTTTTTCTTTCTCCAAGGTACTTTATGGATATGCATAGATATGCAAGAGTGATTTACTGCTGTTTACACATTACTAATCTCTGACCACAGACTACAAATATTAAATAATTGCCAATGAATAGAAAAAATATAGCTAAAGTTAATTTAGAACATTGTTGGGCAAATATGTCACAATTTCCTTCAGGAGGAAAGCTTCATATAATACATTTATTCAAAACAGCAACTGGGAAGGAGTGGGTTAGTATTTGGTTTATATTATTCTCTCAAAATATTATTTCTGTAATGATATAAGAGTGAGTGATATAAACAGAAAGATAGGCATATTCATCCACCTGGAGGACTTTCAATTCATGCACACATACCTGGGATCAGATAAGGTCGTCCATGAACTGATTCTAAAAGCATCATTACAGAAAACAAAGTCAGGGGTCCAAAACAAAGAGCGGTTAAGGTCTTCCTCATGTTAAAAATAGCCTATGCCCCGCAGACTTTGTAGAGAAGCAGAATACCCCAACAGCTGCAGAGTGTAGCAGAGCTCACCCTTAAAAGGTAAGAGTGCTTCAATTACAAATCTAGAGAAGGAAAGAAATTTATAAAATGTAATGCAACCTGTCAACATGATTCACTACTTGGAGAGGTGACAGATTGGCTACACTGCCAATCGTAGGGAGAGCCAAATCGATACAGCTCGGACTGCCTATTTCACTAGACACAGGCGTTCTTATGCATCCTCACACAAGTTCATGCATAAGCCCCAAAGCAGAAACTCGCAAAGTAGAAGGTGTAAGTTGGGTTTCCATAATATTTTGTTTCTTTTCCTAACTCTAAGATTAATTGTCCTAAATTCCTCTTAGTACTAAGCCTGTAAAAGTGGGACCAATTTGACTAATTTAGAGCAAAGCAATCATATTCGTAATAGTAACAAAACCATCATTTCATTTTTAGCCATCAAATAGATTAAAGATGGGAAGAGCTCAGATCTGAAATGCATCATAAGGGGAAGGCATAGTAATGCTGTCTCACTGCACTGGAGAAGGATGGCTTCATTTTGCTGTAACCAGCACTTTTACAAAGTAGGCTTCAATTTAATTAATTCAAAGCTGGCAAACGTCCCAACACTTCCTCTCTATGATTCTTGCCCTAATTGAGATGGCTTTTAAGTCACAATCTTTCAATATATCCTGAATTTCTATTTTATGGTTCTAGGGATGCTATAATGACCTCTAGGCTTGGCATTTACTTCTCCCAAGGGACTTGTGGTGCATCAGCTCTAAAACTGACTCCGTTCCAAGTGTACACACTGCTGCATGTAATGCAAACTCTTCGCTAATTCATGCCTTTGGTATTTTCTTGAATAAACTCTAAATGACATAGTTTGGAATTCATGTTTGCTTTTCTTTTCAGGTTCATTTTCTACACCTGACTGGAGCCCACTGTGTACTTTCTTTACCCTATGGCTGTGCTGATGTATTTCTGGCTGACTGCAGTCCTCACCACTTTCCCTGTTCATTTAAGAAGCTTCAGATTAACGCTATCAACCCTAAGACTCTACTGCCTTTTTTTTGTTTATTGTTTTACACTTTGAGTTATGACATTCTTTCATCCTTTGGACTTCATATACAATATTGCAGAATCCGTTCCTTGTGGTATTACAATTGTGTGTTGGGATGTCTGCCTCCACTACTAAACTGAAAAGACTTCTGGAGACGTCCTAGCCATTTCTGTCCTGGATGAAAGTATTTCTGTGATTTGAGAAGAAAATGAGAGGGAATACACTTGATGTGTGAACAAATAACTAAAATTTCTGGTAATTTAAAAGCAAACTTTGTAGATGGTTTCAAAGCTAAACAAGTTGAAAGAATAATTATAATTCTGTTTATTCTTAAGCCTCAAAGTTTAAGAATGATCAATACCTTCGAACCTTGATTCTACTAGCGTATCATACCAGTGTTCCAAAATTACCATTCACATATACATAATTCTTCTATAATTTATTTATTTAAACTCTTTAAAAGACTGAGTGCAGTGATGCACATCTTTAATCTCAGTACTCAGGAGGCAGAAGAAGTTGGATCTCTGTGAGACTGAGGCCAGACTGGTCTACATAGCAAGTTCCATGCCACCTGGGGCTACAAGGAGACCCTGTCCCCAAAACAAAAAATTATATGAAGATGGGAAATAATGAATCAGAATCACTTAATTTGAGAGGATGCAAAAACATGGTTTTCAAAGAGTGTAATTTCATGATAAATATTAAGGAAAAAGTAAAACAAAGATATAAATTTACTCACAATGAATTAAACTAATAATCCAAAATTAAGACCTGTGAATAAGTTTCACAGTGAAATGAGAAAATTAAATATGCAGAGGTTTTAGTGTGTGTGTGTCTCTGTGTGTCTGTGTCTGTGTATCTGTGTCTGTATGTGTTTCTGTGTATCAGTGTGTCTGTGTGTGTGTCTTTGTGTGTGTGTAATGCTGGGGCTGAAACCCAGAACTATGTGCATGCTAAGTAACCACTCTACTACTGAGATATACCTAAGAATAAGAGTATTCAGTAGTTGAAACGTCATTTTAACTATCCCCTGAAAGTTGAATATGATGACTCACTTGTAACAAACGACTTTTTTCAGTTTTTGTTCCACACATTTTTGTTTTAGGAAACCTAAAACAAGCTCATAAATCTTTTCCCCTGACATATTAACAAGATATTGACAAAGTGAAGAAAAGTAAGCCTCAAACAGAGAGAAAAACATTTGCCATACAAACGAAACCTGATAGTTTATGACCATCAGACGTACTTTACATGAAATTGTGAAGGGAATTCTTCAAACTGAAAGAAAAGCACACTAATAGGTGTAATAAAAGTATGAGGCTCATTGTAAAGTTATGCAATCACATTCATAATCCAACACCCTGATGGCTGCATATTGCTACTTATATCATCAGCATAAGAGTTCAAAGACAAAATAATTTACAATAACAATAGCTACAATAATTTGCTAGAAGAGACTCAACTTTAACAATACTGATTGGAACATGAAAAGTATAAAATACAGCAGGAAAGGAATTGAAAATGCAAGTTTTTTTTGTTCAATCAAAATTAAGTAGTTATTGTTTTAGAATAGCCTATAATAACTATATTTTATGTAACCCTTATCAAAACTACAAAGTTTCTGCAGTAGATGAACAAAAGTTTACAAATATACTACAGGAAAAGAGTTCTAATGACAGGGAATACAAGGACAAAAGAACCTACAACACAATGGAGTAGCAAGTAAGGAACACCATGTCATTTAAATAACACACCAAAATTGAAATATTTGGGGTAATCTTAACTAAGGAAGCAAAAGACTTATACACACAAAACTGTAAAAGCTGATTAAAGTTACTGAAGGAGAGAAGACATAAGCTTCTAGTTCGGAAATACTAATATGGTTAAAATTGTCATACTGGGGTCGGGGATTTAGCTCAGTGGTTGAGCGCAAGGCCCTGGGTTCAATCCTCAGCTCCGAAAAAAAAAAAAAATGTCATACTATCCAAAGCAATCTACATATTCAATGAAGTCCCTCCAAACTCCAGTGACGTTTTTCATGTAACTAAGTGAAAATACAGCGGGACCTGTAGCTCAGTGGTAGAAGGGTCACTTAGCATGTGGACCAGGACTTGAAACACACACAGAGGAAAAGAAATAAGGGAGGGAAGGAGGGAGGGAGGGAAGGAGGGAGGGAGGGAGGGAAGAGGGGAGGACAAAATTTATCTGGAAACTCAAAACACACCAAATAACCAAAGCAGTCCCAAACAAAAAAAGCCAAAACTGAACGCATAATGTTATCTGACTAAAAAATTCTCCAAAACTATAATATAAAAATAGCTTGGGGCCAGGGAGATGGCTCAGCACGTAAGAGCACTTTTCTACTATATTGATGGAAACATCCAGTAGGTAAATTAGAATGAAGCAGGGAAATCTCTGCTGTAGGAATCAGAAGCTATCTGACCGTAGTCTTAGTTTCTGGTTGGTGGAATCTAGTAGCTTGTTAGTACATTTCCGGAGGATTTATATGATAGCCACCAAGAAGTTCAGTCAAACACAGTGGTGGGTCAAATGCATGGCTACTAAGAGGGATAAAGAGAGTACAAAAGAATTTAGTTTCAGACCTTCCAACTTTGCAGGATCACAAAAGTTCTGATCATCAGCCAGCACTAGAGAATTTAAGACGGTTTTCGCATCCTGTGTGTCATTGTTTCCCTTTTCCCCACATTTTATTTTATTTTATTTTATTTTATTTTATTTTATTTTATTTTATTATTTTATATTTAAACACAGCGTCTATATAGTCCAGGCTGGCATCAAACTACTTTGCAACTAAGTATGACCTTAAATTCTTTACCTTTCCTGCCTGAACTATCCAAGTACTAGAAAAGGAAGTGTGCCTCACTTCCTTTTGTGTTTTGGCAGTGGTGGTCTGGGGGGGGGGAATACTTTTTTTTTAAGATAAAGATAATACTTTAGTTTTTATTGGATATAAATGCTAATTGCAAGTTTGTTTGACAAATATTCTTTTAAAATTTCATTTTAAGGCTGGGCATGGTGGCACACGCCTTTAATCCCAGCACCCGGGAGGCAGAGGCAGGCAGATGTCTGTGAGTTCAAGGCCAGCCTGGTCTACATAGTGAGTTCCAGGCCAGCTGGGGCTACAGGGAGACCCTGTCTTAAAAAGACCAAAAAAAAAAACAAAAAAAATTCATTTAAAAATGCTTTATTCAGTTTTTGTGCATTTCATATAATAAATTTTAATCAAATTTAGATTCCCCTCCCCCATCTACACCACCCAAGCTCCCCTACCAGATTTCATGCATTCTCTCATGTATGTTAAGTCCTATCCATTCAAGTATTTGTACCCAGATTTGTACTCAGTGCAAGTTCATCCACTGGAATCTAGTCAGCCTATCTAGAGTCACTCCCATAATGAAGATCTACTCTCCCTCATCCAGCAGTAATCAGCTTCTCGGCAAGGATTGGGGCCTGCTGCCCATTTCTCTTGTTCTAACCTGAGATTTTTGTCTGACTGATTCGGCATGCGTCTTGTGCAACGCATGCTGTCAACCATTGTTGCAAGTTCAAATGAACAAATTCCCAATGACCTGAAAGGCTGTTTCCTTATGTTCATGCACCAACCGTGGCTCTTAAAACCTTTACACCCCGCCTCATCCACAATGGTCACTGAGCCATGGGTGGGTGAGGTTTAATATAGGAGTACTATCCAGGGACACTCACTCTGCAGTCTGTTATTCTCTAAGACTTAGCCAGTTGTGGCCTTCTGTGTGCACCACACTCAATTGTATGAGGACACTACACTGCTGAGAGTTGAAGGATATATAAGTGTTCTCTCTACCCCCTGTTCCACTATGTTCCATGAGCCTTAGGTATACAGGTTTCACTGCAGATGTGTCACTCAGGACTG